TGTACACAGCAAAAGGGACGTGCCACAGTTGGTGACAAATGGACTTCACAGGTGTTTGCTTGTGACAAATGTCTCTGTAACACAGACTTCCCCAAAGTGGAGCCCAGGACAGGTTTGAATGCATGAGAGAAGCATCAGGTTGGGTCTGCTCCTCACCTTAATTAGAAGTAACTGCACACTGTTAGTGAATGCAAGGGCATTTTCCATTTTTGGTTTCTTTTCTCTAATTGCCTGTGCTTAAACTCTGTATAAGCTCAGGATTCAGTCTTTTCTCTGTTTAAACTGCATGAACAATTCAGCCCACCCTGACTAATTCTACTTGCAGGCTACATGCCGTTGTTCAAAGGCAGGCAGATATCCAAGTCCGCTCCAAGAACTGTAGGACAGGTGTGTCAAAGATGCCTTGAAAGCACTCTCTTCCTTCTTGATTGATTACCCAATATATTGACAAAAACCCCCTTTCCCAAGCTGTCGAGTGTACCTCCCCACACTCAGGAAGGCTCAGAGAAGAGCCAGTGCTCAGAGAAGAACTATGCAGGATATTCAACAAGTGCCCAGGCCAGTGCTGGCAGAGCTCGTGGCAGCAGAGGCCAAGATGAAGCAGAGGCTACAGTGCGCTAGGACAAGGCAGGCTTAGGCTGCAGCAGGGAAAGGAAGAAGTAAAAAGGAGCAGTTAGGAAGATACTGAATCCTGCTGGTCAAAAAGTAGGACAGATAATTTTTTAATGTGTCCACTTTATCCTACTTCACGTTCCTCTATGTCTAAAGATTGACAGAAAAGAAAACCATGAGATTTGTCTCAAAGGAATAAGATCTGTGAGCCTGAAGCAATAAGGCCATTTTTAAGAGCGTGTGGTGGCAGTCAGTGTAAGCTTATCTAGGACAATACTGCCACCAAAAGGCATACCCGGCTGCTAAGTTTTCTGCTTCTGTAGGTTTGTATTTGAGCGTGAGACGTGCTTAGCCCCAGTGTTCTGACAAACTGTGCTTGTGAGTCAGTACATGTCAGCACTGAGTCATTGCCCAGGCTGTTCTCTTGCACTGGGTAATGCATTAATGGATCTGCTTTACAAGTGACTCCTCAGGAAAAGGTTACACTTGTCAGTGATTTCTGAAGACACTTTGTCACCTCTTACTTATGTCTTTTGGTCCTGTGTGAAGGCCAAATATCTCTGTAAGCTCATCAGTTCTTCCTGCTGCACCATCCCATCAAGTAGGAAGTCTTGGAATGTCTCAGCCATGTCTGACATAGAGTACTGCTCTTGGTACACAGCAACAGAAGTTGTGAAGCTGGGTTCAGACATTGCTCACTATGCATATATGCATAGTAAGTATAGGAAGTAGTGCAAGACATTCTGGATTGCAGTGATTGTTGTAAAAGAACATTTGTTCATCAAGTCCATGTTAGGATGGATATACTTAAAAAGATATGTTTCCCAGGCATGTGAGGTGTTTTTTTTCTCTACAAACAAAGGATTTTTATATTGAACTTTGTCTTTGGTTGTGCTGCAGTTTGTAAAGGCTAAAGAAGAAAGGCTGGATTTGAGTCAGAAGAGGTGTTTCCTCTTACTGGCTTGTGGCCACCAAGAACCAGCCTCCTGTCCTCTCCACAAGAATCAGAGAAAGCAGAAAAACTCCTTCTGTTTTGTCACAGTGATTTCTTCTCAGCAGAGAAAACCATAATATCTCTCACCTGGCCACTGCAAGATGACTCTAAAACCTCCTTGTCCCAAATGTCAAAGAAGCAGAGCAATCTGAGATGTCGTTTGAATAACAGGAGTTTTGGAAATTGTTTAGTGCTCTGAGAACAACATCTGCCAGAGTATTTTTTCGTGTTAATGAAATACCAAATGAAATATCATTTGAGGGGAGAGGGAAATAATTACTTAAAAAAGCTATGTTTCTGCAACATTGAAATTGCTAAAGTGAATGGCATGGAGTCACAAGAGCATTGCTACCTGTCACTATGGGCTACAGACTAATAAGTATATTAATATAACATCCTAAGTGATTGCTACAGTTTCAGAAGTGTCATTATGAGGAAAAAACATGATAGTGGAGTCAGGAATACTTGTCTAAGTACAGCCCAGGATAGATAAACCTGACTTTGTGGGAGTGGAGTGCCTAAGCCTCATGCCCAAAAAGCGGCTGCTCTTTCTGAAGAGCTCAGGATACACAGCAGGGGATTTTGCCTGAACACTTCAATGCTGATTCCCCTCAGAAGATCTTGTGGATCTCTGCTGACATGAATATCATCTGAGTTCTGAAACTCCTAAGTGGATGAAGTCTACATACCATGGGCAGATACTTATCTCTGGGAGTCTGGCAGGCTGCAAGGCCTACCTAATTGCAGAAAAGCTTTGGAAACTTGCCTGTCTGCCTCCTTCTACTGTCCTGGGCCAGGTATCACCTTTCTGAGCATTAAGCATCTCTGCCCAGAGCTATTCAATTCCATTCACTATCCTTTATCAAATTCCCTTTACTTTTTTCTTCAGGATGCTCCTTGAAGACAGAAGTGGCATGTCTGAGTGTACTTGGGGAGCTATGACAGGAACAGGGAGAAACTGTGTCTGCATAGATTTCTCTCTCACAAGGGGATTTTTTTTTCAAGCACTCTTGTATCAGGATGGCAGTTCTCTTGCTCTGACTCTGTTCTAGGATCAAACACTGTTAATTGAGCTATCCATCTTGATGCAAAGTCATTTCTGTTAGCGGATTGAACTATTGTGAGTAGAAATGTTCTTTACTGGTCTAGGAAACTGATACAGACCAGGAAGGTACATACCAGCAGAATATGATCATCTACTCTACCTGGAGTACTGTGTCCAGTGCTGGGGCCCTCAGTTCAGGAAGGATATTGAGATGCTGGAGCAGGTCCAGAGAAGAGTAACAAGGCTGGTGAAGGGACTCAAGCACAAGTCCTATGAGGAGAGGCTGAGGGAGCTGGGGCTGTTCAGCCTGGAGAAGAGGAGGCTCAGGGGAGACCTCATCCCTCTCTACAACTCCCTGACAGGAGGCTGTAGCCAGGTGGGCATCAGTCTCTTCTCCCAGGCAACCAGCAGAAGAGGGAATGGTCTTAAGCTGTGCCAGGGGAGGTTTAGGTTGAATATTAGGAAAAAATTGTTTACAGAGAGAGTAATCAGACATTGGAATGGGCTGCCCAGGGAGGTGGTGGATTCACTGTCCCTGGAAGTTTTTAAGATGAGACTGGATGTGGCACTTAGTGCCATGGTCTAGTAACCATGGCAGTGTTGGATCAAGGGTTGGACTTGATGATCTTGGAGGTCTTTTCCAACCCAGTTCATTCTATAATTCTATGATAAATTAAATAGATTTTCAGTTTCCAGGAGAGTTCCACTTAACAAATCATGAGCAGAGTATAGATATTTATGATATGAGTTGGAAAGACAAACATCAGTTTGGGGAGATGGCAGATCGTATTGCTTGATTCTTACCAAACTCTTAGCCATCAACAGTACAATTCAAACAAAACCATAAAGACAGAACTTGTACATTAATGCTGCCTCTTTGAGATATTATGTTCTATGGGATGACTGTGTCCTCCCTCCCAAGCAAATGCTTTGGACCCTCAGCTATAATTTGTTTGAGTTGGGAAGCAGGATCATTGCTGTTCATGACAGGCACCCATGTACGGTGGATTGACCTTGGCTGGACACCAGGTGCCCACCCAGCCGCTCTATCACTCTCCAGCCAGACAGGGGAGAGAATAAGATGGAAAACAACTCGTGGGTTGGGAAAAGGCAGTTTATTAAAGCAAAAGCTTGTGTACGCAAAAGCGAAGTGAAAGATAACAAAGTTTATTCTCTACTTCCCATGAGCAATGATGGTTGACCACCTCTGAGAAGCAGGGCCTCAGCACACGTAATGGCTCCTCAGCAGGCAGCCACTGGAGACAGTGAATGCCTGCCTTCCTGCTCCTTGCCTCAGCTTTTATATCTGAGCTGATGTCATTTGGTATGGAATATCCCTTAGGTTAGTTCGGGTCAGCTGGCCTACTTGGGTCCCCTCCCAGGATCTTGCCCTCGATTGAGGAAGGAATGTCACAGTGTTGGTGCTGTGCTCAGCAGAAGCCAAAACATGGGTGTGTTATCAGCACTCTTCTAGCCACCAATGCAAAGCACAGCACTGTGAGGGCTACTATGGGGAAATGAACTCCAGCTCAGCAAGACCCAGTACCCCATGTCACAGGCCAGAGAAGTGCTACTCACGTGCTGGCCTCCAGGACCAGGCTGGTCACAGAATCTGGGCTTGTGGGCAAGAGCTGATTGCACCCCACACTGTGATGTACACTCAGAATATTGAAGAACTGCAGCTGGCATGGGATGAGCAGTTAGCCCATCAGGTTTTTTTAGATAATTGTCAGGGAGAGGTGTACAAGATTTCTTGAAGGATAATTAGATCTGGGAAACTTCACTGGTGCAGGAGAGAGTAGAAACACTTTTAATCTGATTTCAAGCAGTTCTCACTGAGCAAATTGTAAAGGCAAAAGCGATGTGTTTGAAGACAAAAGGAGATTGAATTGACTCTGTCAGAATGCTGTATTTTAAAGCTTTTGCTGTTTATAGCCTTGATGGATGCCAAAAATCCTTATTTATGTTGGTGTTGATCCTTATTTTAGAAGTCCTTATGGTATATGAGATAATATACTGTTTCTGTTTTAGAAATGATTAAGAAGTGGCCATTAGCAGATAAATAGATAAAATCTCTTCCTTTTTTACAGCAGTGTAGTAAACCAAAAGATAACAGAAGATCTTTTTCCCTGGGGACATAAGTGGTAAATATTAAATTAGGAATATTATATCCTTAATTTTTTTTCCTGGGGAAAAAGCAAATGCTAGCTTATTTAACATCACAGAAGAGTGTAAATGTATTAGTTAGTAGATGTGATTAAAGTTATTTATGTAAATACTTTTTTCATTGTTTTTCACCAGTGTCTGTGCTATCTGTTACATTCTGCAATGATTTCTTTTATTTCACAGCTCTACATCCACCATGTTGCCCTGTGGACCAGCTTTGTCCTTTATTAGGTGTCTGGTGCGGAAGAAGAATGTCAGTGGTGAAAGCCTTGAGGACACCAAGTTGTGCCGATGCTTATCGACTGTGGACCTTATAGCCCTGGGAGTAGGAAGTACCCTTGGTGCTGGTGTTTATGTCCTTGCTGGAGAAGTAGCCAAATCTGATTCTGGACCTAGCATCATTATTTCTTTCCTCATTGCTGCCCTTGCCTCTGTGATGGCAGGTCTCTGCTATGCTGAATTTGGTGCTCGCGTCCCCAAGACTGGTTCTGCATATTTGTATACTTACGTTACTGTTGGAGAACTGTGGGCTTTTATCACTGGCTGGAATCTCATTTTGTCCTATATTATAGGTAAGCTTAAGAACAAACATGGGTCTTGGTGGTTTCTGAGACAGCAGATATAAGATAAAGATTTATGTCTGTCTTTCTTTTCTGTCTCTGTACTTAGCTGCTATTGCTTTTTAGTCCTGGTGAGATGAAATAACCAAAGTAATTTGATTAGGTTATTTCCTCCTGTGCATCCCTATTGCAAACAGGTTTTTTTGCAAGATATTTTTGTAAGAGTGTGTTTTGAGAAGTATGAACCACATACGTTGTATGAAAATTGGGTCAGACAATTCAGTGATGATGCACAAGAATAAACAGGATTTCACTGCTGTCTTTGGTCAGCAAGAATAATTTCAATAAAATCAAGAAGCATTTTTTTCAGAATATACTCAGCAAGGACATTTACAGGGACCCAGTCTCACTTCAAGAAAGTCATGGTGTTTAAGTACTAATTTGCTACTATAGCATCATGCTAAGTAAGCACTGTCCTATCAGGTAATCCCATAAAATACAAAGTTGACCAGATCTGAAAAAAACCCAATGCTTATGTGGCAGATATTCAAATAACTACCTCAGTGCTACAGCAGAGATAACATTTTTTGATACAAACATTATTTCTTCCAAAGGAACACATTCCTAACTTCCATTATATTATATTTTGTTTTAGCACGCCTCACTCATACAAACTGTGTTTTGTATGAACACGCCTAGCTCCTGTACCTAACTACAGGATGGTTGCCCAAATCATTAAAAAATTTATATGCCCCAGTATTGTACTGAAGTGTATTTCATGATAGGAGAGTTGTAAAAATAAGGTTGCATTTGGCCATGGCCATGTGCACTTTTTACCACAGGAGAGTATTAATTTTAAATACTAACTGTAGCAACACATATCTTGCTAATGATTTTTTTTTTGCTTTACTTCCAGGTGGGCAAACTTTCCTCCATGTTCTTTGTTAAAGTGCTTTCTTACATTACTTTATATTGTTTAAAATATGTCATATTGTACCTTTAGAAACAAGCTTCTTCCAGAATGACATCAGATATAAATTATGAAAATGAAATAATTTCTGCAATATTTTGAGAATAAGTGGCACACAAATTTTTATATTTTAGTTGTAGAATAATATGTTACCATTTAACTACATACAAAAATTCTATTAAAGTTCTTCAGCAAAACAAACTCAATTGTAGCATAAGCTCTGCTTTTTAAAATGCAAATAGCAACAGGCTTAGTTTTATTTATTTTTCACTAGAAATAGCTATATCCTGCTGTATGTATGCAAAACCCTAAACATTCATGTGTTTTATGAAGGTACATCAAGTGTAGCAAGAGCCTGGAGTGGCACCTTTGATGAACTTCTTGGAAAACGGATTGGTCATTTCTTCGGTACCTACTTCAAAATGAATTACTCTGGGCTAGCAGAGTATCCTGACTTCTTTGCTGTATTCCTTATATTACTTTTAGCAGGTAAGACAATATATCACTTCATTCATGATGGTTGTGATGTTTTACAGATAAAAATACCAAACTGTAGTTTGTATTTTACTAGAAATGCCTTAATAATGTTTAAGGAAGTTCAGATGCACATTTTGTACTGGCAGAATGGCTCTGTGAATTAAATGTATATAATCAAATTTTCATGTGTACCCTCTTCTGTTGAAGCTGAGACGTGACATAATCACTTGCCAGTACTTCTTTTATAAAACCCATGATACAGATTGATGGTAACAGGAAAATTATACAGTTCTGTGTGTTCTCATGGCTTTATCACTGATAAATGCTTTCGGAGGGACCTTAAGGTTAAGCTCTGTAGTTCGGTGATGTGATGTGGTCTCCTTAAAGAAATGTGGGCATTTGTAAGGGGTTTTTGCTCTCTAAATTGTTCGTGGTTTTTTGTATAAAATAATGTTCTTCTCTTTAAGTCTTCAAAAGAGTTGTCTATCCTAGAATTTATTTGAGCTAAAGGGCACTCTAAGGTACTGGTATGAAGCAAAAGACCAGTTTGAAACCTGAGTAAACTTTTCATGTCTATACTCTTCTCAGTCTTGTTTCTTTTTCATCTTTACTCATGTATCATGTTTTTAAATCACAAAAATTGACACCAACTACATGCTATTTGAGAGATCAGAAAACTCAAAAATATTGCAACTTATTTCCTGTTTGCATTAAATATTGCTTTCCACAAGGAAACATTCTTACTGCCACTGGGAGTGAAGGAAGCAGGAAGAGTTTGTTTTCAGGCAATACTAGAAGCATTTCATTATTCAGCAGATGTCTTGTCATGTTCAGCCTCTCTATAGATCAAACCGAAGCAGGAGCTTTTCTTCTCTGGAAAGTGAAACTTTTTATATGTATGTAACCTCCTGTTCTCTTGTTCTATTACGAGTGGCTTTTTTTGGACCCAGGAAAACATTTCTGTTTGACTCCTAATGCTAGAATGACTGACCAGTGCATCTGAAGCTCTTATTAGGTCTCTGTACACAAAAGGATGAGTTCCTACACTTAGGAAGATCCGGGAGTTTACTTGACAAGGTTCAGTCCAGCATCCTGCCATGTTTGTGGCTCAGAATTGCCTATAGGACCAGTTTAGATCCTTATGTCCTCAGGTGGGATGGACATTTCAGCTTCACCTCTTCCAAATAAAGGAGGAAAAAGTAACACTTTGAATAGCAGAGCACTGAAACTCCACAAACTGAACTATACAGTGCTAGTACAGATGCTACCGCTTTCTATGTTTTCTCCATTACCATTGCTGCTTCAGAACATAAGAATTAGAGGTTCCTGATAGAAGACAAAGTGTTTGTCCTGTGCTTCGTCACTGCCCCTGAGTTTTCATTTGTGTCCTGTCTTTTCATCCTCAGTTGCCTCTCCTGGTGTCTGTCCCAAGGAGCCAAACCCACCAAACTGGGTGGAATTCACTGCTGAGAGGAGAGGCAGTGGGGATGGATCAGGGCTGTGTAGGCTGAGCAAGACACAGTAATTGGATTTTGAGCTGTGCAAAACTGAATCATAGGAATAGCAGGTGATGTTTTACAGAAAATATTACGTGCTAAGCACAAGGAAAAGTACACAGAAATTTGGTTTGGGATTTTTTTTTCTACAGAAAGGACTTAAAAAATGCACAAATTATGAATCATACTGTATTAGGCTGACTAAGGCACTAACTTTTTGGGAAAAAACTGAGCTGAAGAAACCATACACTTATTTCCAATAAAAATGCTGTTGGTGAAGAAAAATATATCTCATAAGATAATTTCTGTGTTCTGATAAGATAGCAAATGTCTCATTACTGGAGTCAGAAACTTTTCAGACATGATTTTGAGAGGCTTAAAATTTTCAGACTTAATCTCTAAATAATGAGGTAAAGTATGTATGTGATAAGTGGAAATGCTTAGAGCGTAAAGGACCTGTGAAAGCTTTCCAATTGTATTTAATTTTTCCTGATCTGCTCACTGCCTGCTCTTCCATTAAGCTGTTAGTACACTTAAAATTGTTATAAATCTAATGACACAGTATAATCCTGATGGAATAACTTTCAGATTGTTTAAGTGCACTACTCTGTAAGCTAAAGGATGTGTATTTCATATCATACTCTTTTCTAGGATCTGTATGCATCAGTGTTATGAACAGGATTTCTTTTAAAGGTTTCATTATTGAACTAGGAAACGGGACTTACTCTGTGATGAACGTGTCCTGGAAAATGTGAATAGGTTACATTATTAATCTAATAATTTTACTTCTATTCTTAATCTAAAGAATAATTGTTCTGTAAGGACAATAGATTCCACCAACCTGTTTTTACAAAGCATAGAATTCTTGTAGCTATTTTTGCTCCATGGATTAAAATAGAGATATGGATTTGCATCTCAGAGAAGCAGTAAGTAGCCATTGCTCAAAATATTTTTAAATACTTAAAGAATACCATTAAAGAAGCTTTTTCTTTTGTGGTTTCCAATACATTTTCCTATTGTCATGCTGTTAAAGAGTCTAGTAAATTTGTGCTACTGCTTTTTAGAAGTATAAAATTTGGTTTGTTTTTTAGTATTATTAACACTACTTGCATATATACCTTCTTTAAAATGCTATTTTATCAGTTTAATGGATCATTCACATCTATAAAATATTTTTATTTTACAGGTCTCTTATCTTTTGGAGTAAAGGAATCTGCATGGGTGAATAAAATTTTCACTGCTATTAACATCTTGGTCCTACTCTTCGTTATGATTTCTGGTTTTGTGAAAGGAGATGCTGACAACTGGAAAATAAGTGAAGAATATCTCAGAAACCTTACTGCAGTAACAAAGTAATTTTTAAAAATCTATTTACTTGCTCGTGTTCCAAGCAGTTTTCTGTTACACATTTTATTGATATATACACTATTGGTGTTTTAATATGTTTTGTCACAGACTTCAAAGTGAGTAAGATGATGGTTACTTGATTCGTATATTCTTCCTTTTGCTGTTATTTTTGTCTTTCTTACAAGCTTGGACATAAAAATGTCATCTCGTGCAGTTTTGTAAAGCAGAACTCTGTCTTGACGAGAACATTTTAACATGTTTCTCTAGAGTGATAGGATAGGAGAGTGCATGTGTTTGTCCTACCAATAATGAAAAAATAAGTTCTCCTTCTGCTGTATTTTTCTTTATAGGAACATCTCATCCTATGAAAATGTGACAAGTATATATGGGAGTGGTGGCTTTATGCCATATGGTTTCACAGGAACATTGGCTGGTGCTGCAACGTGTTTTTATGCTTTTGTAGGATTTGACTGCATTGCAACAACTGGTATAGTATTTATATGTCTGTGTATTTATGTTTAACATGATTTTTTTGTAAAAAACCCCCATAAAACGCACAAACAACATAACAATCTGTCTACTCTTCTTACTCTGCTTTCTTCCAAACCTTCTTCAGTCTGTGTAGAGTGAACTAAGTTCACTCCTGAATGTGGCTATAGTTATGGGAGGAAGTAGGAGATTTTGCTTATTTTCTTCCTGTTCTAAAGAAATTAATTGCTGCTTTCTAAGTCGGAGAAGTGCTTAGCATACAATTTTTCCGCTCAAATAATGTTAATCACTTGCTCACTTTTACAATTTTCTGACATGAGGTGTCTCTTCTAAAGGCTGGCTTGCATATGACTGATAGGGAATGAGTACATTGAACTATGAATTGTAGGTAAATAACTAGAAATACTGGGCTCTGAGTAGTCTAGAAATATAATGTATTTTATGTTCTTTAATTTACCTCTATTTTAATGCTATTTCTGACAACAAAATAGTGGGTTTTGTTCTGTGTCTCTCAGCTTATTTCACTCAGATTTTTAAAACTTCTATTACAGATATGACTTAGATTAACAAACAATTTGTCTTTGATGTTATCTTTTAAAGCTGAAGGTGCAAATTCATAAGAATTTTTTGATGGGTTTTTTTCCCCCCTTTTTTCAGGAGAAGAGGTCAAGAATCCTCAGAAAGCCATACCCATAGGAATTGTGGTGTCCCTGCTTGTCTGCTTCATGGCCTATTTTGGGGTTTCAGCTGCACTGACACTTATGATGCCATACTATCTGCTGGATGAGAAAAGTCCTCTGCCAGTAGCATTTGAATATGTTGCATGGGGTCCTGCTAAATACGTTGTAGCAGTGGGATCCCTCTGTGCTTTGTCTACAAGGTAAAGACATTGAAATACTGATTTTGCTGGGAAAAGCTGATGAATAATATATTACATTTATATGTATGTTCACATGTTCATTTTGAAGGCTCAGCCCATGCAAAGAATTAGCAGTAAGTATTATAAGCAAGTTTTATACTTAAGCAGGTCTACATCACAGTAGCTGCATTAATTTAGGTTTCTTTTTTTTTAACTGTACTGTTATTGAACTCTATCTCTTTGGTAGAAACTTACTATTAAAGTATGTATTTTCAAACATATGACCTGCAAGTTATCTTTATTAACTGGTAAAATCAACCTCACCCATTTTGTCTTTTCTTGCTGTCCATTCCTGATGACTCAGCAGCTCTATGGGCTCTGTGCATTTACAGGCAAAATTGAAGAGAGGATTAACTAAACTCCACTCCTCATCTTTGTTGCCTGTCTCTGTTTTCCTCCAGTAGCCACTCTGTCTTCTGACATCATCCTTTCCTGTGGTTTCTGTGTGGGTATTTGTGATATAGATTATAACTGTCAAAATATTATAATTTATTCCCCTTTGTGAAACTGTGGATGTAATCTTAACATGTTACTTTGATTAAAAAGATCAGGGAGGGCATGAGATATATTAGTATGTATTCATATATATTACACCCCAATTTTGATGTGGTATAAACGCTTTCACAGAATAGAGAATTGCTCGATACTTAAATTCAGGGCCTGAAAAATGCTGATGCCAATCTTTTACCTGAGCTTATGTAAGTAAGGAGCCATTTGTGTGAGCTTTGGTGGTAAGAATACTGGCTGCCTTTCCACAAAGGCAAACATGATGCCTGTGGAAGCACTAATGCTAACAGCGCTCCGAGATAACCTTGTAAGCAGCCTGAAGATGATGAGCATGCTGACTGTGGACAGTGGTTTAAAGGAAAGGAATATTTAGATGTAGGAGGGGATAGAAAAAGGAAATAGTTCCAGAATGATGTTAAAAGAATTGTAGAGCTGACTGAAGAATGTCACAGTTAGACATTTCATCCTGGGATTATAGTTATTTTCTATCTAGTTGTCATGGTCCCCTCAGTTTGGAGGATTTTACTGATTTTTTCCTTTACATTGATAAATAATGAAAGTTGCATAGAAGCAGAAACTAAGTTAAAGAAATTAATATTGGAAAGCAAAATGAACTGAGATGGTAAAATGCTTTTTTAGAAATTTGGACTATTAGTCTATTTTTCCAGTGTATTCCGGTGAAGAATTATATTTTCTTCTGTGGAGAGATTAATCTTTCAGTCTGTTGACTGATGTCAGTTTAGAACAAAACAAATGAAAGTGTACTTCATATTCCTCAGTGTAGAGGTATAATTAAGAAAAAATTCTGGGATGATTCTTTTGATTTATACAGTTACCTCATACTATGTTATTTCATGAACGTGTTTCCTCAGGGTAAAGATGTTAATATTTACATTATATATATGAATGTACTAGAAGAAGGGCAGTTTAAATGAGTTTTACAAAGCTACAGCTGCAAAGAAACATTCTTTTTGGAAGGTACATTCATATATCAAAATCATTCATTTGCAATAAAACTTCTCTCATGTCTAACTTAAACACTTGTGTCTCACAAGTATTACTGGATGTATTTAGCATCTGTGGTATGTAAAAGCTGTGCCTTCTTTAAGTGATACAGTCAATTTTGCAAAGTAAGAAAAGAAACCATTCACCTGGTTAAAAACTAGTGTGCTTGCTGCAGAGGTTATACTGGCTATAATTTTGCGTTTTGTTTTCTTAATTAAAATTATTTCTCTTTGAGTGAAAGAAATCACCTAATTCAAGAAGTATGTTTAAGAGCTTCAAGTTATCAATAGTTTAAAAGCGTTCTGTGTCTTACTAATAACAAATCTAAATTAATTAGCTTTACTTCTTCCAAAAAAAAAAAAAAGGAACAATCTTAATGAAGCTTGCCTAGAGGTGCTTTAATCGAAAGAAAAAATCTGCCCAATATACTTGTATGGTGCTTACTTTGAATTACTGTTAATCAGCAGCCTCACATGAAAATACAGCGTGAAAGAGATGATACTAATGCTTATTTATTTGCTGCTGCTTCTGACTGACAGACTTTCTCCAGGAATACTAAAGCTTAATTTCATAGTTAGTGTGATCTGGAACATGTTTCTGGTCCACTAACACCCAAGAACTATGGTGATGGCAAGAGTTATCTTGCTAATCTGAATTCTGCCTGATGACACAATTTCATTACCTAAATCAATTAAAAAAAACAATAATTAAAAAAAAGCAATCAACTTTGCAGTTAAAAAAAAAATTCTATTTGTGTCTGACCTGTAGTACCTTGGGCTATGGGGCTTTCTGGTTTTGTCTTACAGCCATACATTTTGTTTCTGTAGATGCCATTAATTAACATGGTTTACCTTTTCCATGATACAACTCTGCATGAACTGTTTGCCATGTTGCATGTGTTTGCTTTTTACTCAGTCTTCTTGGATCCATTTTCCCAATACCACGTGTAATCTATGCTATGGCGAAGGATGGGTTGCTTTTCAAATGTCTAGCTCAAATCAATTCCAAAACGAAGACCCCACTAGTTGCTACTCTATCGTCTGGTGCAGTAGCAGGTGAGACTAAGAGTTGATCATTGTAAAGAAAGGTGCACTGCTAAACATGTTGCATATATGAAAATAAACCACTGTTGTGCAGCTGTGACGTGCTTCGGACTGAAATGGTCAAATCTACTTGTTGCTAGGTAAAGTAGGCTACCAGTAAAACTTTTCTCTACTGCAGATTTTGTATCTGCTGGTTAATCTCGAGTGCTTTCAAAGCCTAGGTTCAAAATAAACAACAACCAAAACCAAGAACATCAGTCAACCAAATAAAAAACCAAGAGCAGCAACACAGAGCCTAAGGAAAACTATGCCTGAGCCCATTAATTCTTCCAAGCTTTCTTTTTGTGTAGTTGGGTTTACCAATAAAGCATTGTGCTTTTAATAACCTGTATTTGAACTATACATTTTTCTGTTCTAGTCTTCTCGGCTCTATGTTCCCTTTGCCCCGAATTCTGTTTGCCATGGCACGCGATGGTTTACTCTTTAGTTTTCTTGCCAAAGTGAGTAAGAGGCAGGCACCAGTTTCTGCCACCTTGACAGCAGGGGTCATCTCTGGTAAGCTCTCAAAGCCCGTGTTACTTAAAGCTGAGATTTAAACACTCTATGCACGTGCATGGTACTTTATATTTTTGAAAAGGGCTGCTTGTTAATTATCCTTGCATGTACAATGGGAATAAAATTACTGAGTAATCAAAGGGTGTAAGAAGTCCCGATCATGCAAATCATGGTGGTGGTGATGATGGCCTTAATGTCAAAGAATTCAATTTTTTTTTTAAATATTAACCCATTGTAGGTGAATAAGCTTATTACTTAATCTGAGTCCCTTAGGCTGATGCTCTACTGACAGGGTTTCCTTGTCTGATGTACTCATAATATACTTATCACATCTATAAGGGAGGGGGAAAATAACTGACACATTTTTTTATTATGAGATATAAGAAAAAAATTATATTTTCAGCAGGGTCTATTTTCGTGTAAAATACAAAGATTTTTTAATTGTCTTTCAGAGAAAATGATTCTGTTTTTGTAGAGGCTTACCAAGTTGTGGTTGAGGGATATGTGTGTATGTTGGGGGGTTATGTGTGTCTGCACATATATGTACACACATACATGCCTACATATATTTTAGCAAAACAGTATTTTGGGAGCTGTTGCCAACTCTTAATGTTAATTCTTGACATACAACTGTTTCAATTCTGTCCATACTTCTTGCAGAGGTACATGTAGCTGTGCCCAAATTCTGTCATTTGAGTGGATTGTCACAGAATCACAGACTATTCTGAGTTGGAAGGGACTCGCAAGGATCATCGAGCCCAGCTCTTAAGTGAATGGCCCATGTGGGCATCAAACCCACAGCCTTGGTGTTAGTGCCATGCTCTAACCAACTGAGCTATCTCAAATAAAAGGTTCAGAAATGAGACCACAATATTTTCATTTATAGGCAGGGTATTTTCAGATGCCACAAGACTGGAACTGCTCACACCACGTACTTGACAATTATGTGGAAAGGCACAGTCATTGCCTGGAGACTTCCCACATGAAGCATTATTATCAGTTCCCTTTTCTTTGGTCAGAGTACAAATAAATTGCTTAGGGTTACTTTTATTGTTTCAACTTTATATTATTTATCTTATCGACATATTCTCCTACAATAATTTGGAAGTGTGGTTTTGTGGGATAAAATCAAGATCTTTATCAGAAATCACAGTAATGATGAGAAAAAGGAAAACCGTATTCCCCAGCTGGTAAAGTGGTTGATGCAGTTACACAGCCCTCACTGTAGCTATGCTGCAACCCTCATCGGACTGCTTTTAGAGAGTTTGGGGCATTTGGTGTGTCAACAGCTGATCTGAAAACAGCTTTATCTACTGCTGGAGAAAGAGTAATTTCTTCTTCTATTAAAAAAACCCCAACATACTTGGTAACTTGTGGCCAAAAATAGTTCTGCCAGAATAGTTATGGATGTATGCAAGAGCTTATATGATCTGATTTTTCTATGCATTTGTAGCATGAAAGTCTTATAGCTTTAAGAAATGTTAAGGAAATTAGATGTTTGGCCATTTAATTAAAGTTACCAGGTCAAGACTACAGCTGAGGTAACTGTCTCATGGTATTATGTGACTTACCTTTTCACAGGTGATAACTGCAATGGCGAAAGTCTAGCAAAATGTTTTGGTGTCAGTCCAGTTTCATCATAAATGGATCTACCATTGTCTCTTGGAGTAGAATTAAGAGAAGTGGAAAAGCGATACTGTGCCTTTTTTTTCCCTTAGTAAGAAACAGAGGCATTTTTCACTTTATTTCTTATGCTAAAGAACATTCTGGACTACAGAGTAGCCTTTTGAAGCTAGGATTAAAAGTTAAATATAACTACTGTACATGAGGTTATAGTAGGTTCTGTTCTTCCTCAGCTTTGCTTACCCATGCACTTTTGAGCATGAAAAGCAGTGAGGTATTCAGAAATCTACTCCGCAGATTAATTTTTTGATTCAGGAACATCCGCAGTCATTAAAGAAAACAGGATGGCCTTCCTTAATTGGAAAAGGAGACTCACAAATGATATAAAAATTCTGTAATCCAGCAGTCTTGTTTTCAGAATATCACATTTTGCTTCCTCCTTCGGGATCAAATACCAGGCGAAAATGTGTCTGTGTGTTTGTGCACTTATGCACCCGTTTACAAATACATTAACAAATAACAAATATTAACAAAAAAATAACAAAAGTAACAAATATTAAATATAAATATTTCTGAATATAGAAAAATTTGGGTGTGCATATAAACACAGTGAATAAAGGCTACCTTTAAGTTTCTTTTGATGTTGAGATTTGATGTTTGAGATGCTTCAAAAAGTCTGCATCTCAAAAATGTTAATAAAATACAAATTGGAATTAGCCTTTCATTTAGTGATGGCTTCTGCTAATTTCTTGATGAACTATGTGCATCTGTGTGCAGACAGCATAGACAAACAAATACATTCCAGAATCTCCAAAGGAATGTGACATTAGCTTTTATAGACACAAGATTTCTAGAATTACTCTCAGGATCATAAAAATTTCTGCCTCTGAGTTGAATGATCTTAAAAAAATTAATTCTTGTGAGATTTTGCTGGCCTTTCCTGAAGGCCACTTGAAAACTATTTTTAGTAGGATAACCATTAAAAAAAACCCCAAAACGCAAAACTATTTTATTTGAGACAACTTCTGGAAGTCCTCTCTACATAGAGCTTTTTCCCAGGTCAGCAGAAATTTTACACCCCAATGACTAACTGGGTCGGATTACTTTTCCTGGTCTGACAGTGGGATCCATCCTTTCAGCTTTAGTGAGATTCTGCTGCAGGATCTGAACCTTATCCTATAAAATATGTTTTTAATATGGCCCCATTGTGTGCAAATACTTATGTCCAAATAAGTTCAATAGGAAGCGTTTGATTATGCAGCATGACTGTACGGCTCATCAGTACCTATCTATATAGATTAGATTCCCAACTGTAGGCAGTTAGGTTTGGGAACTATACCAGTGGCTTCAAAAATGTGATTTTAAGGATTACCATGATTTCACTCATACTGCTGTCCATAAAACAATGTAAAGTTAGACTCTGGACAAATTTGAAAATCTTAGCTTAAAATGTCTTAATATTAATCTTGGCACTTATGGTTTGACTTGATGGTCTTAAACATCTTTTCCGATCTGAATGATTCTATGTCAATCTCATGGAAATTTTGCATTATTTTTTCTGTTTTAGCTATAATGGCATTTCTGTTTGACCTAAAGGCTTTAGTGGACATGATGTCTATTGGTACACTTCTTGCTTATTCACTTGTGGCAACCTGTGTCCTCATCCTTAGGTGAGTCAAACACAGCCTTCATATTCTACTGTGATTTATTTTGTGTTGGTCAGTAAATAAAGAGAAGTCACATTTACAGGGCATGTTTTTTGCTAGATGGCCAATAGCTGTAAGTGTATAAATTATTTCTAAGAAGCAGTGACCCGTCAAAGAAAGCAATGGTATATTCTCATGGAAGTATAGCAGTTAGTCAAGTCAAAACTTCATGTGAAATCTAGACACTTTTTATTTTCCAGAAGTAGTATTGGTCCAAGCATTAGTCCCAAAGGTACTAAATATAAGCTTGTGTGCAGAATTCAACAAATGATATTTTGATATGAATACAGTCTTTGCTCTACATCATGCCTATTACATTTTGGGGACTATATGTGAAAGGTGTAGATGTTCTAGGTCCTTCACAGGATGAACAAGTTCAAATAATTGCTTTGTTTTACACTAGTCAGAAATGTAAGATCAGAGAAGTGCTTCAAGATATGGTAAGCCTTCAAAGAGAGAACAAATATTATCTCTCAAAGAAAGAGATTGTAAATATTTCTCAGTAAAACTCTGGTATCTATCATGTTTGTAAACTGTGGAATGAAATTTATATATTGGTAGCTATAGCTCACTTTATTATGTATTGTTCTTTTAAAAGAAAATTGTCCTTGAAAAGTCAGTCTTTATTACTTAAGGGTAAGTGATTAACTTAGAAAAGTGTAACAGCTTAAATTCAGTTAAAATTCATTGTTGCAATAATCTACACTTTAAAAGAGAAGACTGTTTTATTCTATAGTGACTCATTTACCATATGTATTTTTAAAAATACACTTAAATGCTAACAAAGCAGATGTAAAATTTCAGTTTAAGCAGTTAGGAGGCCTCTTACAGGATGGGAAACAAGTCAGGAACTTTCTCTGCTGTTGACGAACAGAGCCTGTCCCCTCTTTCTATACGGGACTGGTCATTTATCTGACCCATTTGTGCATTCAGGTAGCTTTAAAAACTGTTCAAAAAATCCCCCAAAAACCCATCCAAAAAGTGAGTTGCTATAGTTTTTTTATATATGATACTGACTAACGATGCTATTGTGTAGGAATCGGGTTACAGGAAGGATGCTGAATGACACCTTTTATATGCACCTCAAAGTAACATGTGACTCCCTTGACCAATTACCAAGGGCATCTCACTGCCCATGTGTGGGAGTACTTCGGGGCTTCATTTCCCAGGATGCCTCATCCAGCATCCTTCCTGTAATCCAACTCCTACACTATTGCAGTACAGTTATAAATGGTGAAATTCTTATGCACTACTGCAAAGAATTTAGTATTTAAATACATTCCTAGATTCATATTGCTTCAAAACCCAAAGTAAGCTTCATGTTTTCTTATTATCCTGCTTGTTTTATGCATAGATACCAACCCACTGTAACCTATGAGGAACCAAAATATTCTCCAGAAAAAGCAGCTTTGGCTGCAGCTGAAAGGGGATCTGCAGTAAGTGAATCACAGATAAATATGATAGAAGAGAATCGCTTCAGTCTTCAGGCCCTGATTAATCCATCCAGTTTACCAACTGAGCAGACAGCAACTACTGTTAACTTTTTAGTGAGCCTCTTAGGTAAGTATTCAGCTGTCCAAACTCATATATGCATTAACATAAATAATGGAATTTTATTAAAGACAGAATTAAAAATTCACTGATAACATGCCTTCTTTCTGTCCTAATTAATTTGCTTTTATATAATGATTCTATGCCTTTATACTTCTTGATGGATCGATCTAATCTGCAGTCTAGTATATTTTCTTTTAATTAAATATATTCATGATAATACTACATATTGAAGACTTGCTATCAACTCTTCTTAAAAGTCACTTCCTCTTCAATGCAGAAATTGACTTTTTCTATAATTTTGTTTGTCATACAGCTTGCTTGGTTTGTGGCTTGAGTGTCCTCACTACATATGGGATTCATTTCATTGCTAACTTGGAGCCCTGGAGTATTGGCCTTCTTGCTGTGTTAGCAGTGTCCTTCATAGTTACCATTCTCCTCATCCAAAGACAGCCTCAAAACCAGCAGAAAATGGCCTTTATGGTGAATAACATATTTACTCTGTTATTCTCTAATGAGAGGTTTTGATGGATTCTAACGAGTGGGACAGAGAACTCAGATACTGGAAAACAGTTCAGAAACTGATGAGAGTACAATCACACAATATAGTTCATACCTCCCAGAGTATAAGTCCTTTCATTTTGTGCTTTCACTTATGTTCTAAGATCAATTATTTAATGGAAATAATGAAGTATAGTGATGAAAGTCAAGGAATCTGGTGGAGCTGGAGATGCATTTCAGAAAGAAGTGATATGTACATAAATATATTTTTCAGCTGTAAATACAAGAATTTATTAGTATAAGTTCAGCAGAAAACTGGAAAGTTTTTCCACAGCCTTAGAGAATATATATTAAACACAATGTATTTTAAGAGTTTTTAAGATATGTAGAAACTGGTGGTTAAACCCAATGAAAAAGACAATTTCACTATATAACAACAGCAAATAAAAGTTCAATTCTTTATTAGTGGTTATATGTGTTACCTCTAGTTTTTGTTATATAACAGAAGTGTGATATGCAAAAAATATATATTTAATATAAATATATTAAATATTTCCTTTTAGGTTCCACTATTGCCATTTTTGCCATCATTCAGTATACTGGTAAATATTTACTTGATGGTGCAGTTAAGTGGAGAAACTTGGATTAGATTTAGCTTCTGGATGGCACTCGGTAAGTAATTCTGTTCAGTCACTTCATAAACTAGAAATCATGAATCTCATCTTAGAACATTCTTTTCCTTTAAATATTTGAAAAAAACCTCTGTGATGTATTAAAAGTCAGCTTATATTTCTGATCAAAAAAGAGCATGCTTCAGAAGAAGTATTTATATGCAGTCAAAATCGTAGATATAGTTTTGAGGTAAAAAGAAGAATTCCAATAAGCCACAATTTTTTTTCCTAGTAAGTATAGCCAAAATTATGTAGAAACCTGTTTGTAAAAGGTTTCTTCCCAGTATATCAGTCATTCTCCTTTTAGATCTAGGAAATTGTATTCATTCCATCTAGACATAAATTAGTAGTTTCCATGACCTATTAGAGCATTTAATTATGTAAAAATGATGCACTGGAATTACCCATAGAAACAGGAAAGACCTGAAGCATGAGCTCTGATTCAGATACCTGAAGAAGAAAATTGTTTTGCAAAATATATTCAGCCAGAGAGAAATATATGCATTTTTAATGCACTACTTGACTGAAAACTCTGTGAACTTTTTTTTTTTTTTCCTTTTGGAAGGCTTCCTCATTTACTTCGCTTATGGCATCAGACACAGTGTTGAAGGTCATCGTAATGATGGAGATGATGATTCTTGTTCAGAAAATAGTGGTTTGAAAGAGAAGAATCCTGTGGAAGAACTGGATGAACCTGAAAATGCAAATGAAAGGGATCAATTTCTTCCACATGAAAGGACAAGTGAATGTTAATCTCTGCCAACACACAAATCTTTTAAACCTTTAATTGACATTTGCAGACTGAAATTTCAAAAGCTTTCTGCCAACATTGTGCTTCTAGAAAGTGTTTACTACAAGGCCTGACTGATATTTTGGACAAGCTGCTAATCCATCTTCATCATTTCAGAACTGACAGCATGGAGATTAATATTTATATATAAAAAAAAAAGAAAAGTACCCTTTGGCAAGCAAAAATTTGGAGGCATTGTTTGAAGTGTCATCCAAAATCACTGGCAATCATCAAATATGAAGAATTTTAGAACCGTCTGCCAGAAGTTCTGAATATTTGACAATGTGTTGTGGACACAAGTGCCTTTCATACCTTCTCCTTATCTCTGTTACATGTTTTGGTCACAATCTAAATTTTCTTCTTTCTACTGAAGTAACTCTCATTGGAGATAAATTTCATTCAAGCCTGGAAACTATTTGCAAAATGAATGGTAATTGTATGGATCAGATACTTTGTAAAAAGTAGAGGACCATATATTTATGTAAAAAGAAATAATTGCTTACCTTTATTAATCATGACTACTAATCAGTAGTCCTAGAGAACTCAAGCAGTAAAGATACTTCAAAGGTTTTTAGTCCCTCTAATAATATTCAAGATTTCTACTTATGTGAATGCCTTTTCTTTAAAAGATGCTGTATAGAAGTGTGTATAGAATAATACTCTCAAGAGGAGCTATGTTGTTTTCTGCAAAAGCATCTGGGAACTAATCTGTTGGTCACAGTATTGACAGTGACAGTCATATGTGATTTAGCAAGTACTGTGCTTTTGATTTCAGAAGGGCCAGAATTTTATCCCTGACTACATAATTTGGTACTTACATACACCAGTCATCAAGTTTTTCTCCTTACTACTCATTTAGTAATACTTTCTTTTCCTTTATCATATGCCAGAACTGATATTTCTGATATTGGTGTTACACGTGGCTTTTCCTCAGAAGACTTAATGCACAAAATCCCAGCTTTCTTTTCAGATGGAAGGGGAGGTTTAAAAAAACAGAGGTATGAGCTTTGGAAAAAAACCTTGTCAGAACAGTATTTCTGCACTTCACTAAGCCTTAAACATGTCAGCACTTTTTTGTGAGCAAAGCCTACCTACGTCCACAAATCCATTCATGTGGGTATGATGTCTAAATGCTAATTTATGTAAAGAACGAAATTGTTGTGGCAGTGCTGGGTGAACAGTTATTTTAATGCTGATAAAAATAGAAACTGTTCCTCTTTCAATACAAGTCATGTCACCTCTCAAAGGCACCCAGACGTTTTAGCACTTTTTCTCAGCAAATAGTAGGCTCAAGTCCCATGAAGGATTCTACAGTATGAAGTCATTTTGCAAGAATGTATTTACAAAAACAGTTTCCCTAGACTAAGAACTGTCTTGGACTTTGTCATGGAGAGTTGCTGGTACTAATCATTAGTATTAATCTCTGTTATTACATGTAAAAACTTTAGATGCCACGAGAGCTATATTGGTTGACAGTGAAAAGCACCTTATAATAGCTGGAATTTCACAACCAACCAACGACAACAACCAACAACAATACCCAAAAGTACAAAACAACCAAACCCCCCAAAAAAGAAAAACAACAAAAAACTCCCAAACTAGTTAGGCTGCTTCTGTCTCTCTCCTGTTTGTTTTTTTTTTTTTTTTTCAGAGCAATACAGCACTCTTTTTAATCTTAAAATTACTTCTTTCTCAGTAGTCTTAAATCCTCAGCTGCAAAAAAAGCCATTGCTGTAGGAGCAAGTCAGCAGCACCCATGTAAAGTTTTTGTACGATGTCTTTACAAGCCTACAGTGAAACACAGCTCTTTGAAAATGATTTACAAATCTCAGTGTGTGGGAAGCACAGACTTACTTTTTCCTATGGCTGTTGATGCCACAGAGCAGGCCAGCCAGGCTCCCAAGGTGCAAACTGCTGCTGCTCTTTGATGTGCAAGAAAGACTGCATTCCCTCCCAAGGCCCTCATATAGAATGTATGTGTGCACACCTGTCTATGCATTTGCACCTGTCTGGCCCATAGTGATTCTGATGAACTGGTTAAAATAATTTCTATATTGCACTGGAATTTTCCTTTGAAAGGATACTGTCAATATAATAAACTTCTGACTAAAGCAAGGCTAGCAAAGGCCTCTGGAGAGAACTAAAGGAAATAAATTTTCTAGCTTATTTACCTAATGGATGTGTCAGCAGTTTGTGTATTGACAGTGTCCCCTTTTATTTGTATGAATATTTCTCCTCCCTGCTCCTTGTTAGAGAAATTATTTAAAAACAATAGAATGTGCCTGTACAAATGTTGCTAAAGGAGATGGAAGGAGCTGCAGCATGGGAACTATCCACATAACTAATAAGATATAAAATGAAATTAAAGGAAAGTAATTGGGTACTCCTGGTTTCTTCAACTGTGCAAAGCTTATTTATATGTGTGTATAGTTAAAGTAACTATAAGTCAGTGACTGAGTAAAACCAGACAAGCCATAAGTAAGATATTTATGGTAAGTTTGATATGCATTTGTATATGCAGTCGTGAAATTCCAGATGCTTTAGTGGGGCTTTGCAGAAGCAAAGGACATGCCATGCTAGTCCTTACACAAGAGCTATGGATGAAACAAATCCTGATTTTGTCCTCACATTTGCTCTATGTCTGTACTTGCTGAGAGAGCAGCTGAAAGCACAAGTCCAGTGGAACTAAATTGTTGTTATTTTTTAACACAGTTGTTGATATTGTAAATTGTTCTGTGCAAATAATAATGGAATGTGTTAATACAAAATATCTATTTTTGGAGGTAGCCTATTGGGATTTTTCTTCCTTTATAGAAAAAAAATCCTCCAAAAACTTTATTTGCATTGGTACATTCTCAATATGCCATTAGATAAAAGAATTATTTTTACCTAGTTGGATTTAAGAAAGTAAGCCAAAACTATATTTAACAGAGCACAAATAAATGTGCTTTTTGTTCTGAGGAATAAGAGTTATAAAACATTTCCAAATCATTCATGTTATCTGAACTGATGTTCTCGTGCTATTCCAGTCCTAATTCTGCAATAGAAAGTTTTATGAGGTAACTTAGATTTCATTGCTTGTTATCATGGATGAAACTATTCTATAAGTATGCTTTTTCCTGCACAACAAATGCTGGTTAGATTCCTGAAATCTGTCATAATATGTTTATGTCTCCATGTGTTAAAGCCATTTATATTATCTGCTGTTGGAGAACTATCAGAATAAATGTCAATAGTAGTGATACAGAGTTACTTACATATATGAATTTAACTGTGTCATCCAGAAACTTCAAATGATAAAATGAATTTAGAGGCAAAACTTGGTAAAGCTTAAATGTAGATTTCCTATTTTATTAGATGATAAATATACAAGTCTAGTCCCCTTTTCCTTAAAATTTATGCAAATATATATATATACATATATATATATTTAAGAAATATAAGGCATAGTGTTTTCATGGAAGTTTTAACAAGTGCCAATATCAGTGTGCCATAAGCATCCTGAGATGGTGAAATCCTTGACAATGCAGGAAATCTGTGTGGGACTGTGCAATCATTTTATTCAGATATGAGGCCTTTGACATTGAGGTGCATTTTTTACGGTAGGAAGTTAATTCACAAAAAGGCTGGCATGTGTTACTTGAGTGCATAAAAAAGAAAACAAAAGCACCTTTTTAATGCTCTTTGGCCCTAATTCTTCCTAGACTTGCTAGGAAGTTTGTACAAACTGCAGTATGTTCACTGAAAGCACTGAGGTTACTCAGTGTTAAGCAAATATATATTTTACAGAAAAAGCAGGAGGTATTTCATATGGTATAGGATATTTGTATTTGTTTTTAATTTCCTGTACCTTTAGTACATTTCTTTCAGGTATATGTTTTGAGGACCTCTGCATTTTTAATAGTTGGACCTTTCCAAAGCTAAATATAATGCCTTTACCATGTGTTGATCTATTTTCCATTTGATTTTAGAAATCAAACTCCCTAACATTAGCTAAGTTGAAGGATTGCTGTGCATTGACATGCAGAACTATGTATATATATATTATTTTTTTTTTTTTAAATTTTCAGTTGGACAAATTCTATTGTCTTTCTATGTTTCATGAGCCTTTTGCCAGGTAAACTCCAGCTTCACCAAGATTTGGATGTTTAGGAAGGCTTTTCTCTTTTGTGTTACCAGAAAGTAAAGCATGAAATATGTGTTTCATATCTTTAAAAACAGTTATGTGTGCATCACTTTAAAAAAACATTAGCATTCATATCCATTTTAACTTTTCCTTTTTGTTCATATGTACATTCTAGTGATTATTTCTATATTATATGCTGCTGAGCATTTAAAATGTTGATAAGATGATTATGATGCAACTTAAACTACAAATTTTTATTTCTTTGAAGTGCTCTACCAAAATTAAAAATATTTGAATTTTTATGAATGTAAAAATGCTTATATTTAAGAATATGGTGCTTTTTTCCCACTTTACAATAGAATTGTTATCAGTGACATTTTTAGTTACCTTAGTTCCAAATTCTGATGAAAATTGCATTGGTTTTCATTTACTGTAAAATGTGCTCTGTGGGATAAAAATTGTGTATTTGTTCCATATTTTTTAAATAAAGCTGAATGTCACTTGTATGTACTTCATACAGCAGCTGTAACTTTAAACACCACTATAGTTTTAGTTAACACTAAAATAATGTAATGAATTCAAATCATTAGTATTCCAGATATCTAATGTCATGACATTATACAAATCACAGAACATTTAAAATAAATAACATGATAATTTGTATGCATTTTTATAGAGGAAAAACACAACCACATTTTATGTTTAAATGAGGACGGTCTGGAGATGAGGATAGTAGCAATCTTTGTTTCCTGCTTGCTTCAAGGCACTGAAGAAGTCACTGAAATAGATTTAGGCATCTTGTGGTACAGTGCCAAGCCAGAGATGATGTTAGGTTTGATTTCCAGAGGGAGTGAGTAGCCCTCAGCATTCATGCTGCTCAACTTTCTGAAGCACCAAGCATTTTCCTGGTATCCACCCAACCTCAAAGCTGGATGAGCAAACTCATTGTTGTCTTCTTTTTCCCTTTTTTGTGAAAAAGCAAACCAAAACAGCAAAAAAAAAAAATCCAACAAAAACAAAACACCAACTCCCCCAAAAAACTGAAGCAAACCAACCCCAAAACCTTCCTCAACTTTGGATAGTACTGTGGGTATAGCAAGAGAATAAAAGCATGTGTCTGGGCAATGGATAACGATAGCCTTGACAATGAGAACCCCACTGCCAAAGCAAGCTTATTCTCCGCACTGTTTTTAGAGACATTTGGGTAATCATCTTTGTTCACAGACTTAAGAGGAGTTATGACTGGATTTTTTCAGAGGTATACTGCAACTCTTATATAATTCCTCATGAAGTTTTCAAATTATTAATAGTCATGTAAGTCTGTATTGTACATACAGACTTACTAAGACTGGTCTTGAAAATCTTGGTCCCATGAAGCAGTGGGAACAGGGCCACTGATTTAAATGAGGACGAGAGTCATTCCGCAAGTATCACATTTAAAACATTTACTTGAAAAGATGTATTTAAGCTATTGGCTTACTCTTGTGGAGAACTGGGGTCATTACATGCAGATTTTCATTAGTTCTTCTGATGGCGATAAATGAAAATGTGGCCGGTTTTTCACGCATACTCATTTAAAACTAGGACACAAAATTCATAAAATCATTTTCCTTCTTCATTGCATATATCTACATAGGAAAAAGGTATATGTCAGTTTAAATATGTCTTAAAATTAGTGCAGTCTGAGTGTTATTTCCATGTGCTATTACCATGTTTTCCAAAATACACTAATATGTGGAGCTCAGACACCATTAGCTTATTGACCTACCCCATATATGAAAGAAAAAGGGATATTTGACCTAAGAAGGCACATCAGAATTGCAAATAGCAGTTTTGCAGATGAAAGAAAAAAGCCCACTCTTCATCATAAGCAGGAACTGTTAATATTTCCAAATGCAAATTTGCAGTTTATACTACACATATTTTCTGAGTTATCTCTGAGATTCATTTACCTTAAAACAAAGACTGATAACCTTTTCAGAATATAATATTTGATGGCATGTTTAAAGGGGGAAAGACTTTTAAAATATGCTGTAGCAAAAAAACCCAAGTATTTTTCTTAATTTACTACAGGTAATGGACAACAAGTCTAGGATATACCGATAATAAAATGAAAAAGAAATAATGAAATTTCATCATCTTACTCCACACCTGGGCCCTACTGGATTTTTCACACTAACCAACTACCCCAGATGAAGTCTTGGAGCAGGCTCAGGCAAGCAGGTATCCAAACTCTGCATGTCTCTGTATTTATGAGAGTAGGGCAGCATATCCTTTCTAATTTGTGCGTGTGTGTGTGGATGCAGATGAATCCTCTGCTTCCTTCAAGGTCTGTAGCTGTTCTGCTCTCACATCTGCTATGGCCATGGAGCTGTGGCCAGGGACACCATTCCCTGTTTAGTTTTATTCACACTGAACTGTGGTCTTGTCTACTACAGTTCAGACTTGTGATCTCTGACAGCCATTGTTTTTCCCCCCTTCCAGTCCAGTGTCTTCACCTTGCTTTGTATCTACCTTTGTGGCCCCTCCAGTCATATTTTCTGCTCCCTTCTCCTCCAAGGAAACCCTCAAATTTCAAGAAACGGTTTTTGACAGCCCAGCGTGAGCATAAACATACATGCTGCAAATGTCAAGCTTATCACGTTCATCTCTAAGCAGTGAAGAGATGCCTACACCTTCTCAGTGTGCTTCACACAGGCATCCATGAAAATTGTCACGGACTATGGAGCCCCAAATGGGAACATAGATACTTCCTCTGTTTTCCACTGAGGCAGCTTTTCCTGAGCTACTGGGAGTCTCTTTGCTGTGGCTGGTATGAGTGCAATAGTTTGACTTCAAAACGTACTCTTGCTGTCTTAGGCCAGCGCTGTTCTGTGCCCGACGTGCACCTGCAGGGTCACCTGTGGCACCACCTGCACAGCCCTCGCTGCCCCGCTCCCCTCTGCCGAGCCAGCTACGGGCCCGAAGGCAGCCAAGAGCTTTGCACCTGTGCAGAGCCACGCGTGGCGAAGCGCGGCTGTCACCGCCGAGCCGCTGCGAGCAGTGACGCTCTACAGGTGCCCCCGAGGTCGAGCGTGTCTAGGGTGCAGCTCTGCTCAGAATATGGGGTTCTCAGCGAAGAAGACCGGGTGCTCGCGGCATCGGCCCCCCGGGCAGCACAGTGCCGACGGCCCTTCCAGCAGCGGGACCCGCAGGAGCTCCGGCCCCTCCCGGCTCCTCCCCGCCGAGACGCCCGGGGCCCGGCCCCGCGGCCACGCCCGCCCCTCAGCGCAGCGCCCCGGCCGCTCCCGCCATGCGGGTCTGGGTGCTCCTCAGCCTGCCGCTGCTGCTGCTGCTGCTGCTGCAGGAAGCGCTGCCACACGGTGAGCCCCCGCCGCGCCGCGTCCCCACACCTTGCGAGTCGCCTCGGACTCTCCTTTTTCCTGTCGTCCCCCCGCGCCGACCGTCCCCGGGACAAGACCGGGAGCCATCTCAGGGGCGGTGGCGGACAGTGTTCCGCCCGGGCTTTCTGCCCAAAGTGTGGGTTTGGAGAGAGGCGTTTGCGGCAGCCCCGGCTGTCCCCGCCGCCCGCTCCCTCGGGGTCCGCGTTTAAATTGCGCTTGGTCCCGTGCGGCGCCGGGGAGGGACGGCCCTGGGCGAGGGACGGTGCTGGACGTCCCTCCAGCACTGATTTGAAAAACAAACACAAAAGGTTTCGTGCACGGTTGTTCGTTTGTAGAGAGCACCGAACTTTTCTCATAATCCCGTTTCAGGTTGTGATGAAGTCTTGATGGGGAGAGGCAAGTGCTTGACTGGGAAGGGAAATTCACAACGAGTGCTTGACTTACGTAGACGTTAACTAGACAAAAGAGATGCTGTTTCTTTCTTGAAAAATGTGAATAAACTTCTTAATACTTATCCAGAAGAAACAATAGCAGAAAAATTCCATAGTTTTCTACCGCGGAAGGGCTTGGGATCACGGGCTGCCGTAGCCCGTGGAAGGGTTTGTAGAGAAATGGGAGGCAGGCTCTGAGGTGCGCGGGGAAGGACAGGGAAGCAGTTAACACAAGTTGTTCAGGAGGTCATATGGAAAAAAAGTCTTGTAAGAACATAAAAAATCCTCCACTCTGGGAGCTGTTAAGCACTGAAAGGGGAGATGTAGAGTCTCCAGCATTTGGGAAAGTTGCAGCTCAACTGGACAAGGCTCAGAGCAGCTGAACAGAGATGGGAGGGGACCTGCAGAAAGCCCTTTCCAGCCCAGTTTTTCTCATGACTACGTGCTAAGGAATTGCACTCTGGACCAGAGTGCTGTGGGAGTGAATTTCTGCTGAAAGATCTGATCTAGGGGTGTGCACCACCACATGAAAAAAAGTGTTTTCTGTTTGAGAAATAGACAATAAAAATGCAGAATAAGAACGGACTTGAACCTGGGTAAAAGATTTCCCAAGTCTATGTTTTCCTCAGTTTATACTGAGGTTTGACTGGGTGCTTTACTCAGTCGGAAAGTAAACTAGCACATATAATAAGTTTTTTGTCTAAAGGTAGAGGTAGAAATACTAATCTAGACATTGTAACTTCAGAATAACTGTTCTGTTACATTAGTTGTGATCACAAATACACTTTCTTCCCTCTTATCTTAGTCTTGGTGTTTAGGAATTAGACTTTATGGTAACTTTACACTTGATTTTGGAAGAATTCATCAGTCTTAATGAGAGGTTTTTTGATCTCTGATGGTACCAAGGCGTAGCATGGGACCTGCCTTGTGGAATAGGTATGTCTAGTGGACAATGAACACAATCTCTTTGTACTTGTGGGAGACCTTGCTCACTCTCTGCCTCTGAAGTTCTCTAGGTGGACACTTGAAGATCAGGGGCCAGTGCAATGTGCGTGTGGATATAGGTGATATCTCAAATGAAAAATGGATGCTCTTTAGGATTATATAACTAACACCCATTTTGGAATTGTTATGTGTAACATTTGTGAGAACAAGGGGCAGACAAACATTAAAGGATAGAATGGGACAATGCTGTGAACCAGGAGCAAAAGTGCCGCATGGTGTATTTCTGTGAGTTACCAGTGCTTAGTCTCCTACTCTGGCGTGATGAGTTAGTAGGGACCCTGAATGTACTGTTGCAGAGGAAATTAGTACAGTGCCTCTTAGAACTGACAAGAGCCGATCAGAGGTAGAAACGAGGCGTTTTCTCAATATTTTTCTGTCTTAATTTCATTATCTTTTTTAGTAAGAAATGTTGTTGCTGGATTAAAATGGTGAGGGCTCTGTGCATCAATCTAGTGAAATGGTAAAATATCCCAAAATGGCATGTTCATGTACTTGCATAAATGGGATAGTTGAGTTTATTCCCTTTCTTGGGAAAATCTTGCAGATTGGGCAAGGAAATGGAGGAATCTTGGTAGTGGTTTCTACGTTCTTGGAGGGATTTGATTGTGTGTCCTCTCTGTCTTAGGTTGATACTATAGCAGTTAATTTAGTTATCTGGCATACAGATACTTAATTGAGTGATGACAGAAGGCAGGATTGTGAGGTGCAGAAGTGGTGGTGTCAGTAGATATCTGGGCAGGCTTATAAGGGAGTGTTGCGGAGGAGCCTTGCCACAGTTTGCTTGGAAACACCTCCGTGGGAGGTGCAGCAGAGAACTAGGTTTTCTGTGTAGAAAGCTAAAAGCTCCTCTGATGGTGTTTCCTGAAACGCCCCTGCGGGGCATTTCTTGGAGGGAAATACGAGGTCAGACAGACAAGGATCTCACTGTGCAGCTGGGAGTGTGGTATGGGAGGAAAGTGTTCAGACTCGCTGGTAACTACAGAAGCACGGAACAGAGGAAGCTTGTGTGGAGAGAAAAAACTTCATCAAAACAAATCAAAACCAGGCTTCTGGCACTTAAAATTGAAAAGCTTTCGTAGGGGAGTCTTTAGCAGTTTCTTAAAGGCAGAGTATCAGATGTGGCACAGCACACAGTGTGGGATGAAGCGTTTCCTTGGGGTGAGGTTGCAAGATCCATGTGCCTTTGAAATAGTGTCAGGACTGAGGTTGGCAGAAAGTAGTGGAAATGGCAAAGAGTAGTTTGGACAAATAGTCCTATATCAATAGGGTTTGATGGGGAAAAAAAAAAGAAAAAAGATGGCTGAACCAGAGCTTGTGTTCTTCTACAGACAAAACTGGAAAGTTCAACAAGGAACTAGAATGTCCAGTTTGAAATGGGAATGCTCATCCAAAAGGCTTATCAGGCCTGTTGGTGGGACCTTCCAGTACTAGGGCACAATGCTGTCATGGAATTCCACTAAGATGGAATAACTCAACCCAAAGGAGAAGTGTTGAAGAAATATTTAGTGTTAAGTCTGATTCCTGGTGGGTTTTGTGAGTAAAAGTCATCTGGACTGAAATACCAGTCCTGTGGAGAACAAACAACCTGAAAACTGACCACCCAATGTGTAATGATGCCTCTGTTAAGGAAGATCAGAGGGTCAGCAAGGACTGAATAGCAAAGCAAAAGGAAGAATTACTTTTCCTAATGTAGTTTGGATCACACACGGGGTGTGATGCACAGTGCAATTGTTTAGATGCCACAAATGATGATGACTTAGAGCTGCTACTTGAAGAGGCCCTGAGAAAAGCAGCAATTCTTGAGTTGATCCAGAGTAGTATTCAGGTAATTGGATTCAGATGTTACTGTAGAGCAGCCAGACTGTAGTTTTAATATTCTTGCAGGAATAATAAAAGCCAAAGAAATGACTGATGCATTTAATTTTGGAAGGGGGAATTACATAAGACAAGAAGGCTCCTGAACTCACATATGGGTTAGATATAAAACCCAGAATAAAGCAGACAAAAAGAGTTTGAGAAACAGCTTACAAAAGGGATAAACCCAGCCATAAATCCTTTTCTTCTTCTGAGGTACTGGGGTGGGGTATAGAGAGGTGGCCACAGAATTTGTAGGGCTGGTAGGAATGGGGAATAAGAAAGAACACCTGTAGAAAGTAAAACTTAAAAACTTAATTATTTGTGTGCACCGATTTTCCCTATGGAGGTGCTTCTGAAGGTTTCAATGGAAAATGGTGACATGATAAGCATAGCAGAAACTTTCAGTGCAGTATCCTACCAAGCACTATAATTGCAGACTCTGAGACAGAATCCTTCTCTATGGTGAGAATCATTAGAGATGTCTCATTAATATGCCAAAAAAATCAGCTTTAGAGAAAATCAGCAACATAAACAGTGTTTGAGTGCCATGATTTTATGATATAGTCAATTTTGAAAGACTGGGCAGTGAAAATTGTACTTGAAATTTTGTGTTGATAGATGCTAAGTAACACAAATGATTCTAACTTCATATACACATTGATGGGTTCCTACTTAGGTATTTCTAACAAATAATTCCTACTTAGGACAGTGTAACTGAAGTTACACTTGATTATTCTAGAGAACGTCAGCTCCTAGTATTGCTCATCTTGAAAATTAATGAGTTGTTTATACAGGAGGGAAGACACCATTAGTATGTACAACTGTGGTTTGACTGTGTCTTGAACCTGATGTACAGTCTGCTTTTGTGTTCTTTCTGTTATGCAAACGTGGTGTAACTGAACTGTTGTGAGATGCATATCCTTTACAAGGAATAGTTAAATAGAGTAGGACATATAAGTCTGGAAAGGATATGTTTCAAAAACACTCAAGTTTTGTAAAAGTGCAAGCGCCTCAGAGAATGTTGTTGGTGAAACAATGGATATTTATTCATTTAATACGAAAACTGGGAGGCATCTAATATTTATGTTTAGTTCGTGATTTTGAAAATTGACCAGACAAATCAATGAAGGAAAATATCCAAGGACAATAAAATACAAAAATACAAAATAATAATAACAGCCAAGGACAATAAAATGATGACTACTGTGGTTCACAGACCCCTTGACCTAAAGGGTTCTTGGAAGCTTGGGAGACTAGTATCGAAGGAGCAGAGATGGTTGCCCTGTTCCCTGGTTGGCATCTGACACTAGGTGGTGTCAGTGCAAATAATTTTGGCCTGACCCACTGCAGCCTTTCTCATGTAATGCAGGAAAGAAGTGCAGGAATGTCCTGGACTTTAAATTTGTGCTCGCAGTGCTTTCTGATAATTTGGTTTTTATTGAATTATTTATTTATTTTTAAATTTGAGACACCTCACTTTTTCTTTGTTTCCTTTGTTTCTAAAGGCAGCTGGGCATCCCTGTTGTATCTTGGAGGTAATGAAATCTCTTACTGTTTGTATCTAAGTTCTATTTTCAGCTGCACTGTCAAAATAAATGGCTGTTACGGAGAAGTGATGACTTAAATACTACCTTCAAGTGACTCTAGTGTCATTTGCATTTCACAGTACTTACTGTAAAAGAAGAAAACTGCATCACTAGCAGTATTTTATAAATTGTCACAAAGTTCCATCCTTGCCAGTTTTTCTTCATGTGTCCCCTATGGTAGCATGGTGTGTGAAAAGGCAATGCAGAATTGACGGGTGTGTGACATGAAAGACAGAGGGCTTGTGTAGCCTTGTGTACAGCTTGGCAGTGCCATGGGGTAGAAATGACAGAAGTAAATGGAGACAGAAATGCTGTATTTCTTTCCCTTACCACTTGTGAAGTTTTCATACCTTACATATTTGTCTGTTTATGTAACTATAGGTATAGACTTTCCACATGTTGTTGAAAGCTCTTTTTTTCCCAGGAAAATGGGTCATGGCAGAGACTTCAAAAACTTACGGAAATAAACTCTTACTGAGTTTTATGAATCTTTTCTAGGAAGAACAAAACTTCAGTTATTCTCTGTGATAATGAGGAAGATCTTTTTTTGCAAAAAGACTATATAACTTTTTTCTAATCGGTAACATTGTTTTCTTTTCTTTATTTTACAAGTTATTGGACAGCCTGCGAAGAGTAAGCGTCCAAAAGAACACGGGGAAAACAAGGTTTTTAACAAAAAAGTAAAACCCAAAACTCCCAAAATGAAGGAGAGAGAATCTGCTGACTCCTCTTTGAAGTCCCAGTCCATACTGACACAGGTGATGGATAAAGGTCGTATCCAGAAACTGGCTGCCACTTTAAGCCTGTCTGCAGGACAAAGCATAGAACTGCGATGTAAGGGGAGTAATGTTACTTGGAACTACCCTTCATATTTAGACACCTTTAAAGACTCCAGACTCAGGTAAGCTATTTTTCTTTTTTTGGAGGAAAAAAAAAAACATCCAGAAATTTTCTTTTCCCTACGAGTTTCAGCACCATCAGGGGTTTTGTTTGTTTACATTTTTACAATTTAGATGTTCTGTCTAATAGTTTTTAATGTCAACGGAAAAGGATGAGCAACTTTCAGTTTTCACTAATTACTGCCCTGTGATTTGCACTGTGGAGTAGTCTTGCAGCACATTAACTGTATTTCCTTCAGATGAGTCTAAAATAAAGATGGTGTTCAGCAGGACACGGGGGCAGCAGGGAACCAAGTTAGGGTTGATCTGAAGTAAAACTCTCAAAATGTGCGAGTGTGAATATCAGGTGCTCACTACCAGCCTACTCTGTTGCTCTGCAGAGACTTGCTCCTGGTAGGCTGTAATGGTTGCTAGTGTGGATACCACCTGAAACACTAAGATTAATTTCCTGAAGAGACTCAAACCCACCCTCCCTTAACTAGCAAAAAATACACCAGCCTCCATGCTAAGAAGAAAGCGAGAGGTAGTCGTTACTTCTTCAGTCAAAGTTGCCTTTGTGTGGAAAAGGAAATTGCAGGGTTTGTGGTGTGGCAGAGTTTAATGCTGAATATAGTCACCTTGAGTTTAGTAAAGCTTTGTATTTCATCTAGTGACATCATAATGAAAACCACATAAGTAGTTGTTACCACAGGAAGAGGAACTTAGGACTCTTCCTTTCTCTGCCCCACCAGCTGAGTGTCCTGTTGCTCTAAACATCTTTTCTAAAACTCCATATATTTGTGTGCCTTCCCAGTTTTTGAGGATAGTACACATAGCTAAATGTAGATTAAATGTAATAATTTTGTTCTGTATTTGAGAGAAGAGGAGCATATAAGGAGCTTAAGGATGTCTTCCACAGGCATTTTTTTGCCTTGAGTTCTGTTTGTTTTCACTGGCTGTTTTATGGAGATTTACGT